AATACACACTCAAATATAATTATTTGCGCACATACTAAAGTATTTCAAAACCGGTAAAGTCAAACCAAACAAAATCACGGACGAAAAATGCCTATTCACGATTTTCTATTTAACGACCGAATTACGGTTTGAATTACGCAGGACACATATATATTTTTTGAATTTTATTTTAATAAAGTAAATAAATAAGAATGGGCCAAAATCACAAATAAATCCACAAGGTGCCGCACAGAAATTCGAAATTGTACAGCGGGGCCAATTATATATTTTTATTTCTTTTTGGAGCGATTGTCGTGTGAAGCAAAAATCACGTGCTCACAGTAATAATTTACTAATTTTATCAATTTAACCATGCAAATATGTGGTGGTAGTCTGGTAGATAATTTCTCTCCACTCTTGACGTTTTGATTTCAAGTCTTTTGAATCGAGAATTATGTTACTTGATTAATAAACAAGTAAATCCCGTTATTTTTTGGGTTGAATTACGTATGATTTCAAGATAATTCTCGAGGCAATTGTAGATCTCGTATCTTGTACGACTATAATTAGGAAAAAACTTATCCGGACCAGATGTTTACGCCCGTCTAATAAATATTTGACACATATCATTTTATTTAACTACAACTATTAGTGATTAACTATAGTTAACTATCATGTATTTTGCGCATAATATTAATTAATGATATAAAATAATTAACATCTAACGACAAAATGACAACAATTTATTTACACGTGGGTTTTGTTATGTTTTTATTCATATGCTCTTGAAATCTTCATGCATACTCAGTTATACACATCATCTTGTTCCAGTAGTAAAAAATTTTGCCCATTAAATCTCATAAAACTCTTGTGCCACTAAACTCTATCATTACCAGAATGAACATGAAATTTATGTCCATGCTAAGATTAGTTGATTTGAATTTATGATCATATTCATTTATCATACTTCTATTTTATTTTTAATGTCCTAATGTCACCTTAGTTAAGAATATGATATATGACATGCGGCCAATACTACACTTGAATATAATAATTAGATATTTGGAAAAAAAATTGGTAAGATGAGAAATTTGTGTGAAATTAGTAGTTAAAAGGATAAAATCATTTAAATCGAGGAATTTTTCTAGCGAAAAGCTTATGGTATATTTTTATTCACAAACTCGACATGCAATATAAGGAAGTCAAGAGCGCAATTTTGATTATGTAATTGGTCGTTTTAGCCAATCAAGCATTCAAGGGTATCCTACAAAAGTTTTATTAGCCTACATAAGCAATCAAGGATTTTCTTGAATGTGTGTAAATTCTTGTCACGACTCAAAATGTAATCATGGTCGTGATGGTGCATATCGTGTTACAAGGCAAGCCCATTCCCAAAATATTACTACTAATTTGATTATAAGAATCTAATAAAACATTTTCAATAATTTAATTCCTGATAAACTAAAGCAACTCTAAATATAAATAATATAAAATAAACGAGTCCCAAACATCGGGGTGTCACTAAGTCATGAGTGTCTAAAACTATGAACTAAGATATATAAACTGTCTAACTGTCCAAAATACGAAATGACAAAAGGAGTAACAAGGTCCTGCGGATGCTGGCAGCTACCTTGCAATCTCCACAAATAGCCGGCCTGAAATCAACGATCGCCATGTTCTAACACACCTGGATCT